CACGCAGAATCTGATCCTTTGGCATTAAATGAAACTCAAGAAGCGAAGAACGAGTCTTAATAAAATGTTCACATATGAGAAAAAAATAAACTCTGAAAAAAGAAGCACAAGCTTGGCCCATTTCTTATAATGAATTAAGGCAATTTCATTAACAAAATTTTAAATTTTTTCAACATAAATAGCTTAATTTGCTCAAGAGATATCAAATTAGAAAAAATTTCTTTCTTCGTTCTAGAAATGATGGAAAGTGTCTCGATATATTCTCCAGATGCCGGCGTAGTTTTTTCAGTCGCAAGTGTCCGAATCGTCCTTTTTTCGTGGTCCTACTATATTTCCACAATGAATTCATCCATGAGATTAGTATGAATGAACTAAACGAAATGCTGATTCCCACGTTGTTCCGGAAACAACCCAGAAAATGGGCGACGGAAACCCCAAAAAATCGGCATACGTGATTTCAGCTCGTCAGGAGTGGTACATGTACATACAGTACAGTATTTCATCTTCGGCGTCAGTTACTCGACCTTTTTCACTCTGGATCACTGTTCATTCGGTACACTGAGATTATTGGTACAGTGATGCAGAATACGAAAGAACATTCGCTTTTCAAGTACAGGACAGTATCGTAGTAACCCCAGTACGGATGCTATTTCCCTGACGCACCTAAGGGTGCCATTACGATGATGATGATGTCTTTTTCTCTCTCCCGTCTCCCGAATATCATTCAAAAATCCCCCCATATTCCCCATCCCATCAGAACGTTGAATGAAAAATAAGATTAAAAAACTTTCGTTCACGTGCCGGAGGTGAGCTACGGGTTGACAACCCCATCATTTCCAACGTCTGGGTCACTAATCCCCCGGCCATCATCATCATCATCATCATCATCGCCGCCGCCGCAAAAGCAACTTCTCGTTTTCTCTCCCACCCCAATCCAACTTACTGAGTGTACTGTACTGTACTCCCAAAGGGTCCTTATTCAGCACAGCCCATTCCACCGCAGGAGAGGCGTAAGAAGAACAAGTATGCGGGTACGAGGCGGGGGATGATTGTCTTGACCCACTGAGCACCGGGCAACATGTGTCACACCGGATTCCTGAGCCCTCGCGTGCCAACCCTGCTTCATCGGGGACAAGGATCATCTCTCCGGGTTCTCTTGAAATATTATTCAATGAAATAAAAACAAAAAGAAATTGAGAAGAGCCAGGTCACGGTGTTGCTCTTCCTTCCACGCACACGGGGAGGGGGGGGGGGGGTACTAATGTCCTGAAAAATTAATAAAAGTTCCTGTACAGTACATTTTCCAATTGAAGTTGACCCGCCTTTTCTTCACTGCGTCATTTTCTATGCTTTCCCATAAGGTTTCCCGGCTTGGGTTCCAAATTGAATTACCCATCAAATTCAGCTGGAGTAAATCCTATTCAAATTTGCATCTATGATTCCCATTCCAGGAATGAAAATCAGGTCCTCTAAAAAGAAAGGTTTTACGAAAAATTACAGTCAAAGCCACTGTATTAAACCTTTAAAAATTGCCGAAGTTAATGCGGAACAACTCAAAATCAAAAGGGAATACCTCGCAAAATTAACGAGCAGAAGAAAAAACCTAACCCGATTCTCGTCAAACCAGAACCCAAGAAAACCTGACCTGATGCCTAATCAACTGATTAATCTAATGATGAATCCGGTCCCCCAAGTCCGCCACAAAACCATGATAACACGTATAATATATTTAAGAACGTGTTCAGAATACAGAGAAATTTCTGGCCTTAGATTAAATACCTGTAACTCGAAAAAAAGTTATTTTCTTAAGGCCCTTCGGCCATCATTTTATTAATCGAAATAGAAAAGCAATAAAAAATGTAAATTGACGCGTTTTGAAAGGAAGAGAACGATTAATCGGGCAAATGAACCCATGCCTCCAACTTCAGCATTCCATCAACAAGCAAATCAAGTCCCAAAATATCACCAATTACCATTATCTCCAATTATTCTCTCTCTCCCCAACTCGTTTTTTTTTTCTTCCAGGTCCCTCAAAGTTCAACTCAAAGAGGTTCGACTGTACCCACAACAACAACAACAACAAAAAAAACCCCGGCACACTCGTAACCAGGCCATTCTTCGAAGGGCTTTTAATTGTTTCAAATCAGAGCCGAATACAGTACGGTTCACAACAAAGACAAAACGAGTCTCGTACGAGAAACACGTTAAGCGAGACCCATTGTGTGCTGCGTTTCGCGGCCGGCAAAAGGTTAATCTCCTTCCCACGACTTGCGCTGGAGCAAACCGCCAAGCCAAGCCAAACCCCGAGGTCGCGCGCAATTCGTTCTGACTGAAAAAGAAACTGTGTCAAACAATCATTGTTCCAGGGAAGACAGAGAAAGAGGACGGAAATAAGGAATTGACACAAAAACTCCCTGATCATCAAACCGGAAAATAAGTGTGTAAATGCATGTGTGTGTGTGTGTGTCGAAGTCCCCCAGAACGCGTGCCGGAATTTCCGCGTCGACATGAAATCCGCATTAGCAGCTCCCCCCCTCTTGTTTGGCAATAAATGTGAAAGCAACGACGCATTATAGATTCGCCAAACTTCGAATCCAACACGAGGGACACGAGACATTAGCGCATTTGTGGGGGGAAAAAAGAGGAAATAAGAGACAGAGCCTCTTTTTCAAAAAAAAGAAGAAAAAAACACGTAGAGGGCAAAATTGAAAACAAAATCCGGTGTGTGTGGAGAATCCATTGACCCAAAGGCAAAATCGTGTCTCACGATTCAACGGCCTTCTGTATAATTGAAGTACTTTTTTCTCTGACCTTTGAGTGAGTGAGCTCAGAGAAGAGGTCGTCACGAACATTTATTTACGCGTCAAGATTTTTCCGTTGAATTTAATAACCTAGAAATTTTCTCAGAGGCAAGAATGCTGGTCACAGAGCATGTAAAAAAAATTGATTTGATCACTGATTGCATTTTGGAAGAACATCTGTTGAAGCCGTCTCATCCTTTCTCGTGAGTAATTTCAATTCCCCGTCTATGCAATGATGCCATAAAAATGTTCCAATCTGAAGTGAAAAAATAATAAATCTAGTAATTGAACTAAAATATAGGATTGAGAAATCAGCCATCCATGAGAACCAACAAAAAATATTTTACGGCCTCCTAAGTGATGAAGACAATTTCCAAAATAATTCAACACACAGGTCTTCACTAAGCTATCTTAACATATTTTAACTTGACGTGGAAGTGCTCGAACATTTCAGTGAAGTGACTCTAGAAGCCTCTTGAAAGTTGAAACAGCTTCGATTTTAAAGAACTAGTCTCGAAGAAAGTTCAGGAGAGAAGACGGCCAAAAATTAAATTGAGCATTGAGAATATGGGCCAAAGAAGGCTCTCCTTTAGCCATTTAATTAAATTAATTTCGTGGTTCATTCTCGAAAAACTTGGAATAATTGCCAAAAACAGCTTTACCCGACACAAAAATCATAACGGAATACCTCGTAAACTCAACGAGCAAACCAACAAACCGAACTCAATCATCATCAAACCAGAACCCAAAAAAATCCCGACCTGATGTCTAATAAAATAATTAATCCAGCCTCAAAGTTCGCCAAAAACCACAATACAGTATCACCCATCAAATTTTGTTTTTCTGCCCCTGAATCCAATGAGAAAAATCAATCAAAATGAACCAAGCCACGATTCAACTAGCACACGAAAAGAAATTTCCCTCGTCCACCGGAACAGGACGAAGGGAAAGATCACACTTCGCAAATGTGTCATTCCACAACGGCTGCAATGTGTCTCCCTTTTTGCGGGATGCTCTGAGGCCCTCTAATCGATTTCGCGCCCCCTTAGCTTTTTTTTTGCCCTTCCTTCCTTCCTGCTAAGTGATTCTTGGTGAGTGCCACTGCTGCTGCTGCTGCTGTACAGCGCGAGAGGAAATTACGATTTTTTCTTCTTCTTCCAACCCTCATCTTCACAGCTCACACACTCGTACCCCTGGGAGCATCTTTTTTTTATTATTCGAAACAGCAGAGGCAGGGGAAAACACCGACGTTCGCAGTCATTACTCACGAAACACCGCGAGGACGGAATGATTTCAACTTGCTACTACAAGCTTCGCACGGACAGTCGTAATATCGTTAAGAGATACTTATCTGCGACAAACCCATTTTTCTTTCACTTCGTTTTCGCTGCAACAAAAATCCCATCTCCGAACATACCGTTGCAAATTTCAGGTTTCACGGCATGTTTCATCACTAGGATGTTTGTGATCAACGGTCATTAAGTCCAAAAGGTTCAAATGGTCTTCTGATTAATCTTCGCAGAAGTGATCAGACAAGGTCGAATTATCACGACTTCGTTCTACTGTATTCTTCAACGACGTGAAACGTCCGTCGCATCGCCGACTGATTCAAAAATTGCATACTGCCATGCATCGATTTCGACCAAGATCATAATGAACATTTCAAATTGTAAAGTTGAAACGTATGACCTCCAAAAAAAAGCCGTGTGCAGTGAGAACAGCTTAACCTTACAACGAAATTGCGTGAAAATGTTTCGTAACTTTTACCAGACACATCTCGCACATGGTTCGATAGAAGTTCTGCAAAAGTAGCAGAAGTAAATCGTCTAATACAGCATTAGATACTCATTCGCAACATCAGGTAAAATTCATTACGAGTGCATACATAATCCATAAAATATTTTTCTCTCGTCCACAAGCACCAGAAATTCAAGTTTGAAAATCCCATTTGAATTTCGAGTCCAGGTTAAACCATCTGATTCAGTCTTTGTGACAAATTTCTACATCATAAAAATGTTTAGACAGACACCTAATCCAAGAAGTAGTTCTCCCATTTCTAAAGGTATTAAAAATTCAAGTTTTAAAATGTATCCCGTCACATTTCGTGTCCTACGCAAGCAACGCAAGTGCGCTGTTACGCAGTTGGAAAACAGTACACCGTAGCACAGTACAATACATACAACACTTATGAATAAATAATTACGATCCCATCCGTGGGAAAAGTGGAAACTCACTTTGACAAGAGCGCCTGGCTGCATCCGGCTCGTAACCCGGCACACAGTGACACCGCCCCTGCTGATAGACCCACGTGCCATCCGCTGTACACATGAACGCTGGCGGAGATGACGTCGACGACGACGACGATGCAACACCAGCAGCAGAAGCAGCAGCAGACGACGACGAAGACGAGGCTACACTGTCGACACCACTCATGTCGACATTCGCTGGCACAGCATTTGCCACGCACTGACCCGTCGTTCGCTCCACAGACGTGAGTTCCTCGCCAGTCGGAGTGGCCGGATACCGAACCAACGACTGCACCACTTCCGGACACGTCTTGTAATAAACCCGGACAGCCAAGAGGGAAATGCAGCCGCCCTGGTCGCGGAATGCGAAGTACAGCCCTCGTTTGGTCGCCGGCACCGACCGCACTTCCGTGTTGATAATGACTTCCGAGTTTTGCGAGAAGCGGCCTTCATCGGCGGCAATCCGATCGACGAGCACGTAGCTCTCGGGTTGCCACGGCGGCGGTTCTCGGGTGGCGGCGTCGAATTCGTAGTAGAGGAGAGAGAAGGTTTCCTTGCACGACCGGGTGGTACCCGGGTACAGGGAGCAATCCCGCACGGAGAATTTCATCTCCACGTAGATCCGCTTGGCGGGTCCACGCTCGATGAATGGCGTCCATAGCCAGTTGTCCACCTGCTTGAACGACACGTCACACACGACGTACGACCGCCAGTTGATGCCCTTTTCGAAGTCCGTGTAGCTCTCCTCCACCCACTGAAAAAATTAAAATAAAATAAAATAAATAAATTAAGTCAAGCAACCTGAGCAAATAAATCGTTTGTTGTCCAGTGATTTTTGTGTGAATTATCCCGCGATAAATTCAATGGTGCGAAAGGATGCCCTATGTCATTTTATTTTCGGGAGAAAACACGAAAGGCGTTCGTTCAAGCAAAATTTAATACAGTCGAACCAACCCATGTCGACTTTATTTTCCCGAGTCCCTGCCGGAATTCCACTAGAAAAAATGCACTGAAAGCTTCCACAACCCGAGTCTTTTGGGGGCTTTTTGGCTTAAAAAAAAAATGTCTGGCACGGAGAAGTGAAAAGCAATAAAAACGTAACTTCATATGTTTTGAAAGGAAGTGAAGAGTAATCGAGAAAATGAACCCTTGCCTCCAAGATCAGCATCCTGTCAGCTCCAGAAAACCACTTAACATCTTTAATTATCCCTAATTTCAAGAAGCCCAAAAGATCCCCAATTTCAATTTCCAATACTTTTTCGCCCTATCCTCAAATTCTCGCTTTTCTATCTCGAATTTGTTCAAGGTCTCTTGAACTTCAGACATGAGAGGTTCAACAGTAAAATTAAAATCTTCCCCATCTGCCTTATTTTTGTACGCGTTCATTCGCACGTGAAATGCCTCCATGAAAGTTGCTAATCTTCTCTTCATTGGTATCGAATTCTACCTCTACGTCACGGGTAGTCACAAAAGATAATTATTGCATAATTCTACCCTAGCTCATCCGAAGTTACCTTCGCTTCAAGGTTCAAAGGATTATCTCAGTACTGAATTATCTAAGTGTTTTTCATGTTTCATAGGTTCACTTGATTTATTATAAACTTCCGAAGATGCATTCTTGGCATTTCAATACCCGATTTCTCCGTAATTCAGCACGCAAAACAATGCACATTACAAACACAAAAATGTTGATTTTCCCTCGCTAAAAAAAATAAAGATACATTTGGTACGGCACTGTAATCGGATCGCCAAAAAATTTACATTCATTCAACTTTGACGAAAAGTACAACTTATTTTCCTCGCAAAATCTCAGTAGAATTTGCACAGGATTGAAGAAAATTTTAGCGAACTTGATCGAACATCCAGCACGTGTATGTGAACATACACTGGTCCTCGGAATGACGAGCAAAATTAGGTTTAATAGGATTTTTCAATCCAAATAAGGCGCATATTCCGCAAACGCGAAGATAAATTGCATGCAACTTGGTTCAAACGCTTTCAAATTTATCTTTTCTCGCACAAAAAAATAAAGCATGAACATTGTCGATTCGGGTTTTTCTTCACTTTCATCGAATTTTTCTTAGGGAAACGAATATGACGAAGTAATCTCAAGGTTATTCATTCAAGTTTCAAAAAAAAACGGAAAAGAACCAAGGCACTCGAGTGTGAAGGTTCCATATTATTTTGGCGAGAAAATAAATAAGCCGAAAATACTCATTCCACTCCCTTTCAGAAGTCAGAAATATCGCAATCTTTCGCTCAAGGCTCCCGTAATTGTTCGTCGGCGGAATAACGAATTCCGAGAGCACCGCACACATGCAGGAAATGAATTCTTCTCTTCGTGGGCGCTTTTCTTCTACTTTCGCCAAGAGAAAAAAAAAATTCAAGAAGAAGAATAAAAAAAAAGAGGAACCAGTTCACGGATGCGAAAAACTTGCGCTTGACATTCACGGACGCGTCCGCCAACCAAATGAAGGTAGTCGAGTGTCTTCAAATCGCACAGCCACCCGTGAATTCTACCCTTTTCTTCTTCGCCTACGAAAGTTTAAAACGACGGTTTTCGCAAGCTAAGAGAGGATGGATGAAAGAAAGAATAAAACCCGTCTTTCAGTTCATCAGAACCGAAGAGTGAATTGAATTTGAGAGAGTCTCTGACGACGACTACGAATTTTCTGTCGTCGTTTGATTGAACCTCGAGGAAACTTCCCCTTCCTTCCCCCTGTTTTCATCACGGACGGTACTTCCAAAAGTTCGAAAATTTACGGAGAAAGGCCTTGAAGTCAAACTCCAAAATGGCTCATTCCCAACTATGTCGAAATTGAACGCAAAACCAGGCACTCGGAGTCGATTTGATTGACAGTTTGAGTTTACGATCAACAGGACTTGCAGAAATGATTCAATTTTTTTCATAATGATTCCAGAAATAACGGTTTTGTCATTTCGCTACTCCTCGGAAAATACAGTACTTTACTGCGGAATTCATTTTGAACTTATTCGAAAGCACTTCGCCAGATTTCTCGAACTACGATGACGGCCTCCCAAAATCCTATTCAATTTCAGGAAAAACATGTTGTTTCTCATGCCACTCGGAAAAAGCACGCAAAAACACAGCTGCTTTCCGTCGCAGTTGAGAATGAAAGTTCGAATCATCCTCGATAGTTTTCGGATATTTCCGTTTGATCATAAATTTCTCTGTCGAAACACTTCGGGCTTTGCCTGGAATTTTGCGGAATTTTCACCATAATTCTTGTTCGAAAATTGGCTTTTTTTGAGAGAAGCCTTCCCATTGCTGTATCACATCATCGGCAAAAAAATCGAACAACTTCTCTTCTCGGAAAATGACCTTAAATTTTCTACAGCGTCTAAAAAAAATTTTCAGTCACGGGCTAACGTTTACACTGATCTGCAAAATCAATAAATTCACCATCATCACAGGCACTCGTTACTTCCTCTTCCGCGACGTTTCAAGCGTTCAATTCTATTTATTCAAATTTCAACAGATGGGTCCATTATCCAATTTCACTCAGACAAAATTTTTTTCAAAAATTCTTGAAAAACTTTCTGACGCCACACGTATCAAGTCTGGATATTCGTCGTCGACCAAAGCCGGAAAAGGGCGGAACGAACCCAGGCCTCCCGCACGAGAGATCAAAGCAGGGGCATTTCCCAGCCGCAAGGCACAGCTCGTAGTTAATGAAATCAGGGTTAATTAGAAGGGGGGGAATGGGGATAGGGATAGAGGGGTTCGGCCACAGGGCCCTTCTCTCTGAGCGGAAATTTCGTCTTTGGGGGGCTCGCGTATTTTACGACAGCACATTGCAGCAGCAGTCGACAGGAGTCGCATTCCTTGATGCCGGAAGTGAGCCACGCAATAAAATCGTCGACAGAGGAAATCCGCCCTCGCCATTACGAACTGCGTCTCGACTCGCGTCTTGGGCCGCGTCAAGTCCGCTCTTATGGCCACTTTCCCCCAAGCAGCAGAACCCGTTGATTTCACAACATAAAACCTTAAGCAAGTCTCGTGTGATGCGAATCTGTGAGAATTGCTGAACGCATGTGAAACGCATTGGATGACATTCTCGAGACGGTTTTTTTTTTATATTTCTCCTCAACAGTGAAGAAGAGCTATTCCCGTTGACAATGGTGCACGTTAAAAAGAAAATGGCTTACGCATTCGCTCGTTGGCTCTATACAAGGAAATGAATGCATTCAACGAGTTCAGGTCTGTTTGAAGAGCAACCAGGCTCGGAATGAAGGATTTATGAAGCCATTGACTCAGAAAGTCGTGGCGCATCTTCAAGTCCCTCCAGTTGAAAAAAATAATGAATGAATAAATTACATTATGAACATCATGAATTTCTATACAATACTGTATTTAAAAAAACGTCGGTGCATAGTGAATCAAGTGAACTCCAATTTCAAAATGGCAACATTAACAGTTTGACAAAAATTCGAGGCTTTATTCTTCCAAAACAAAGTGATTTCGCAAGGCCCTAACAATCGTTACTGTTGTAAATGTGCGTTGAATACAATACAGTTGAACATAGATAACTCAATTCTCCTTAATTAAAATACCTCCTTACTTCAATTTTCAAGTACCTGTCTAAATTCGGTCAGAAACAACGCTTTGAAAACCTTCTAAGTGTTTTCTATTCGAAGCCACATATCTCAAATTCTCTGGAGGCCTTTTGGCTATTATTTTATTGGCAACGGAAAGTAGAAAATCAATAAAATGTAACTATGTTTTCTAAAAGGACGTGAAAGACTAATTCGGCAGATGAACCCTTGCCTCCAAATTCAGCAACCTGATAGCTTATTTCGGAAGGAATTTAACTATTTAAGGCGAAGAAAATCACCGATAACAATTTCCTATAATTTATATTTATATAACCCTACGAAAATGTTTGTTTTCCTGACAAAAATTCCTTTCGACGGTCCTTCGGTTGGCTTCAAGTTCGACTCGGAGATGACACTTTTCAACATGAGATTTCACATAATTGCACTTCGGATTTCAAGGTTTTCTACGTTCATTCCGGAAAACGATCACAATTATCATCGAAGATTTGCACTCAATAGATTCAGGAGATATTTATTGAATGGATGCAAGTCTGCGCATTAATTGATCATAGGATGAACCCGTCTTTCAAGTAAAATTAAAAACAAAGCTTCACATCGGCGTTAAAACGAGAATGATAAAGGTAGAGTTAAGCCCTGATTGATTAAATGCACAAATTTTTTTGTAAGCTTGTGTGAAAATCTTTTTTCATCCCTCTTCGAAATTCCAAGGAATTCTCAGCTCCACCCACGACATATTGATTTCAGTCTTGAAACGACCACAATTTTCGTTTCAGTACACGGAATTTCCGTAATTCGCATTTTTTTTTTCGCCGGGTCTCTTTGCGGAATCACACCCAATCAGCAGGGAACGGATTTGCGCCAACGAACACACCAGAGCTTCAGTGTTTGTTCAACCCGTGTAACCATATGACCTCAGCATCAAGGTTCTGTGCACACAGCTTGCCACAAACAAGATTCTATTTCCCCATCTGGCAGCGCAACCCCCATGTACAGGCGAAAAACAACCCAGCGAAGCGAATTCCAGCTGACCCCCGGCACACACAAAAAGTATCGACGGAAATGCACTCAAACAACTACATCGCACCAGAGGCGGGAGGGGGAAAAGTAGTGCAAAAAGTTTGCAGAGCATTCAGTTCTACGCGTGCTTCAACTCTGGCCTTTCTTTGCCTTTCATTTGGTCCCATGTCATGATCAAGAGCGACTTGAATAATGCAGCATAGAAAAGAAAAAAAAAACACTGCTGTTATGTCTGTTGAAGTAGGACTTCTACGAGTTAATCGAATATCCAAATCAAAGGAACTTCTACTGTGCTCTGTCAAAACAAAGTAGTTCTTGTTTGTTGATTACCTAACGACCAGGAAACTCATCAAATAGGACTAGATGAGTACATTTTCCTCGACAGGAAGTAGTACAGGAGAACTACCTATCTTTACATCGATCTGTTCTACAATTTTCTCAGCATAACAATTGGTTTTTTTGTCCCATAGGGTTCCTACAACGAAATTGTCTATACAACGAATTCTTTCTGATCCCTTGAATTTCGTTGCAGAGGGAGATTCCACATATATAAGGAAATCATTGATTCCTAACTCGAATGTTGCACAATATTCAACTTCAAGTCGGTAAAAAAAATCCTCATTGTTTAGATTTATATCTTTCAAAATCAAAGAAAAACACGATGGTCAATTCATCAAAATTTTAAAAACCCCATTGCTTATCCAGATGCAACACGAAGGACGCCACGGACGAATCTTCAACGTCAAGGAAGCTTAATCAAGTATTTCAAGCAAAAACGTGCTTCAAAATGCACCAAATCAAAAAGTCTCTCATTACTAGCATTTATGGGATGATTCTCAGATTACTGCGACCGCAATGAATAAATTTAAAACCGAATTCATTCATTTTAATGAATCGACTGTTCTCTTAATTCGAATCAGTCGCTCTGAAAGGTTTGACTTGCATCTTGATACCGTGCATAAGAGCGTGAATTACCGTATTTTACAGCAATTATACGCTAAGCTAAATACCATTGACCAGAGGAAACGTCAAGTACCGAACAGTACAAATCAAGTTATTTCTCTGAAAAGGTACAAAAAGAAGCGGGACTTGGCGCCGTTTTTAAATCAAAAAAGGTCGTCATTTCCGGGGTTCAAAAACTGTTCCCAAGGGAACGACGATAAACAAACAAAGACAGCACCTCGTTCGAAGTTACTTCCTCCAGTACCGGCAACATTCATCACTGCAGTACTACTTGAAGTTAGAAAGAAGCAACAAAATAATACAATAGAAAATCTGCGTCCTCTTTGAGAGCGTCTTTCAGCACGAACCCAAACCCACGTGAGAGGGGAAAAAAAGGGATAAAGGGAAGTTGGCGGTGGGGACCAGCACCAGGAAATAGGCACCTGACAGACGGGAAAGAGCCGTTCCTCCTCCTCCTCCACCCTTCTGGTTTGTTTCCAGTTTCATTATTCCGGGAACGTCGGGATAATCTCGCCAAGGCTGGTTTGAGCCCAAGGAACCCCCCCACCAACAACAACAGAGTGACGAGTAGTCTTCTTCTTCTTCTTCTTCGCTTTCCCTCAGGCCGAGATTCCGTGCGGTCAAACTGGGTTCCAACTGCTCCCCGGTCACGCAACTCCCGCAACGTCACTCGCATTCTCCCTGCTTGTCACTCATCCCGCATTATCTCGCATCAAGCCCCACAGGCTCTCTTAGGAGAAGACCCCCAGAACAACATTTTTTTGCCCCCCTCCTTCTTGGGCAGGCACAATTTACGTGGGAAAATTCGCAAGTTCCCGAATAACGTCGAGAATTTTTCAAATTGATCAAATGTTCTTTCACTTCCGGATATAGTGGAAACAACTGAAGGTTTGGGCAAATTTCTGTAAAACTTGTTTCCAATACTCTTTATTGAGACAAATATTTTGTCGCTTCAAAAATCTGATCTCTTCTCAATGTTGAACTCTACATATCCCAAAAATGTCCCCATCAGTTCCACAACAAAACAACAGCTTTGGATTAAAATATTTATTCCTTAAATTTAATAGGTGATAAAATAAGTGTACTTTCTTCATCTCCTGAGATGAACTCACAGAAGAATAAACCTGGACGATCACTACAACGCAACTCGAAGATCTTGCGTAAAACTATTCTCCCTGCATAACGAATTTGTTTTTGTACCAAAGGGGTCTGTCCCATGTCGTAGGGGTTCTCATCAACAAAAATTATATCTACGATTTGTTTTCTTGTTCCTTCAAATTTTGTTGTTAAGTCCACTGAGTAAAATATTGGGTTTGCATAATTTCTAGGACATTCTGCCATCTTATAAACCTACCCAATTATTTCCATCGTAATTCAGCCCACACCGAAAAATCTTTACGCAAATCAGCGCTTCGTTTGAATTTGCGGAGTAAATTTTGGGCATCATGGACTTGTAAGGGATGAAAAATTGTCTGAAAGGCTTGATTTCGGAATAATTTTCGTCATTGAGGCAGATTAGGCTCAGCCTCCGAGCTCAGCATCCTGTCAAGCAAATTTAAGGCCCAAAATATAACCTATTACAATTTCCTCTAGTTCTGCTTTCTTTTTCTCCCAACTCTCCGTAACCTCCCAAACTGGAATTATTTTTATTGATCCCTTGAAGTTTGAGTAGAGGAGCATAATGTGACGAACAAACATTTGTTCCATCCCACAAAACCACGTGGGTAGTCCTAGAAATTAAACTGACACATCAAACTTTAAAAATGTGCACTTCAAAACATACAGACTTAAATGTGGCGCTGTAGAATAAATCATACGTTCGACCTGTATGTTCGCATGAAAACAATCTGGAGTACATTACTGAAAAAGGAAGCCTGTGGGATANTCTCATTACTAGCATTTATGGGATGATACTCAGATTACTGCGACCGCAATGAATAAATTTAAAACCGAATTCATTCATTTTAATGAATCGACTGTTCTCTTAATTCGAATCAGTCTCTCTGAAAGGTTTGACTTGCATCTTGATACCGTGCATAAGAGCGTGAATTACCGTATTTTACAGCAATTATACGCTAAGCTAAATACCATTGACCAGAGGAAACGTCAAGTACCGAACAGTACAAATCAAGTTATTTCTCTGAAAAGGTACAAAAAGAAGCGGGACTTGGCGCCGTTTTTAAATCAAAAAAGGTCGTCATTTCCGGGGTTCAAAAACTGTTCCCAAGGGAACGACGATAAACAAACAAAGACAGCACCTCGTTCGAAGTTACTTCCTCCAGTACCGGCAACATTCATCACTGCAGTACTACTTGAAGTTAGAAAGAAGCAACAAAATAATACAATAGAAAATCTGCGTCCTCTTTGAGAGCGTCTTTCAGCACGAACCCAAACCCACGTGAGAGGGGAAAAAAAGGGATAAAGGGAAGTTGGCGGTGGGGACCAGCACCAGGAAATAGGCACCTGACAGACGGGAAAGAGCCGTTCCTCCTCCTCCTCCACCCTTCTGGTTTGTTTCCAGTTTCATTATTCCGGGAACGTCGGGATAATCTCGCCAAGGCTGGTTTGAGCCCAAGGAACCCCCCACCAACAACAACAGAGTGACGAGTAGTCTTCTTCTTCTTCTTCGCTTTCCCTCAGGCCGAGATTCCGTGCGGTCAAACTGGGTTCCAACTGCTCCCCGGTCACGCAACTCCCGCAACGTCACTCGCATTCTCCCTGCTTGTCACTCATCCCGCATTATCTCGCATCAAGCCCCACAGGCTCTCTTAGGAGAAGACCCCCAGAACAACATTTTTTTGCCCCCCTCCTTCTTGGGCAGGCACAATTTACGTGGGAAAATTCGAAAGTTCCCGAATAACGTCGAGAATTTTTCAAATTGATCAAATGTTCTTTCACTTCCGGATATAGTGGAAACAACTGAAGGTTTGGGCAAATTTCTGTAAAACTTGTTTCCAATACTCTTTATTGAGAAAAATATTTTGTCGCTTCAAAAATCTGATCTCTTCTCAATGTTGAACTCTACAAATCCCAAAAATGTCCCCATCAGTTCCACAAAAAAACAACAGCTTTCGATTACAATATGTATTCCTTAAATTTAATAGGTGATAAAATAAGTGTATTTTCTTTATCTCCTCAGATGAACTCATAGAAGAATAAACCTGGACGATCACTACAACGGGACTCAAAGTTCTTGTGTACAACGATTCTCTCTGTATAACGAATTTGTTTTTGTCCTGAAGGAGTCTGTCCCATGTTGTAGAGTTCAACAAAAATTATATCTACGATTTGTTTCCTTGTCCCTTGAAATTGTCCACTGAGTAAAATATTGGGTTTGCATAATTTCCAGGACATTCTGCAATCGTATAAACCTACCCAATTATTCCCATCGTAATTCAGCCCACACCGAAAAATCTTTACACAAATCAGCGCTTTGTTTGAATTTGCGGAGTGAATTTTGGGTAGCATGGACTTGTAAGGGATAAAAAATTTTCTGAAAGGCCTGACTGCGGAATAATTTTCGTCATTGAGGCAAATTAAACTTAGCTCAATTAGCTCGAAGCTCAGCATCCTGTCAAGCAAATTCAAGGCCCAAAATATAACCTATTACAATTTCCTCTAGTTCTGCTTTCTTTTTCTCCCAACTCTCCGTAACCTCCCAAACTGGAATTATTTTCATTGATCCCTTGAAGTTTGACTGCAGGAGGATAATGTGACGAACAAACAATTGTTCTATCCCACAAAACCACGTGGGTAGTCCTAGAAATTAAACTGACACATCAAACTTTAAAAATGTGCACTTCAAAACATACAGACTTAAATGTGGCGCTGTAGAATAAATCATACGTTCGACCTGTATGTTCGCATGAAAACAATCTGGAGTACATTACTGAAAAAGGAAGCCTGTGGGATACAAAAACGTTTCAGGGATCGCAGAATATCGCATCCAGTTCCCACTTTTCACCACGCACAGGAAATCGCTTCCCGCACATTCCTCATCCCGAAGATGGGTCCAAAAAAAACGAGAGTAGCGGAATAAACTCTAGTACTATGGAAAAAGTTTTCCCATTTTCAGAGCAAGTTTTCTCTCCAGTTTCTTTTCTCTGAAATACCAAGTCCAGAAACAGATGTGTATCATCGATAGCATCGTCCGTCCCGTCCGCTCAACGCAATCTTCTCCTCGAAAAACATTATTGCCGAGCGTCGAATCGCAGCGGAGACAAAGCGAAGCCAAGAGTGCGTTTGTAAATCCCCCCCAAACTCCCTGGATGCATATGCATGGTATACATATTTTTTTTTCTGCAATATATTTTAACAAGATCCCAAGTCCCCCACCACGACTGAATTCAAAGATGAACTGGGGGCTCCAAGCGGAACCATTCGCGGGGCAATACAGGGACGACAAGGGGGAAATGAAAGCAATTCTCTTCTTTGCCCCTGGTCCAAACGCTTTATTGCAACAAAGGCGAACATGTTTATATCTTCGTCAGTGTTNACCACGACTGAATTCAAAGATGAACTGGGGGCTCCAAGCGGAACCATTCGCGGGGCAATACAGGGACGACAAGGGGGAAATGAAAGCAATTCTCTTCTTTGCCCCTGGTCCAAACGCTTTATTGCAACAAAGGCGAACATGTTTATATCTTCGTCAGTGTTGCCAACTTGATCCCACAGTCTCGACAAGAAAAAGCTTACGAGATCAGCGCAATAATTTCGCATTCCATGAAGAATTAATTTCTAGCTCAGGGATCGGCTGCATTTGCAAATATCATTACCGAGTTATTCTGGATGAATACTAATTCAATGAAAGTATATCCGAATATTCATTTCGCATGCATCAGAAAGTCAAGAAGACCAGATGAGCGAGTTCAAGAAAGTCGAAGCGTAAATTTGAAAGAAACGCACGATCAAAGATTAAATAGGTCAAGATATCCTTTTCGAATCGTAAAAGATGACTAGACTCAATAGGATTCAAGACCCAAGTCGATCAGCAATTTTCCTACCACCATCCACTTCATTCAGTTCGCAGAAAATTGAGTCATTAACCCCATGTAGAATAACAACAAAAAGGGCAATTTTCCGCACAGCAAGCGTACGAAGGGCACGTTGCAGAAAAGACAAAGAATCGACACACGAAGGAAAAAGTGTGGGGCTGTTTTCAATTCTTACAGCTGAATCACTTGAAAAATATTTACAGCACCGCAAAAGATTTCCCTCCAGGGCACAAATGAGCAGGTATCAGAACAGCATGCTGGGCTACGTTATTCATAATTTACTAACTTGCGCACACACACTCCTCACACTTGCTGCTTGATACATACTCGTGTGAACTTTTTCTTGAGCAAATATCCTCCGCATACTTGCTCATTTGTGCATGTGGTCTCTCGAGACTTCCTTGCCCTTCGGGTACTCGATCTTCTCCAATATGGACCTCTCCGATTGATCAGCACGGAAGTCTTGAGTTTTCATCAAGCGGAACCATTCGCGGGGCAATACAGGGACGACAAGGGGGAAATGAAAGCAATTCTCTTCTTTGCCCCTGGTCCAAACGCTTTATTGCAACAAAGGCGAACATGTTTATATCTTCGTCAGTGTTACCAACTTGATCCCGCAGTCTCGAAGAAAAGAAAAAGCTTACGAGATCAGCGCAATAATTTCGCATTCCATGAAGAATTAATTTCTAGCTCAGGGATCGGCTGCATTTGCAAATATCATTACCGAGTTCTTCTGGATGAATACTAATTCAATGAAAGTATATCCGAATATTCATTTCGCATGCATCAGAAAGTCAAGAAGACCAGATGAGCGAGTTCAAGAAAGTCGAAGTGTAAATTTGAAAGAAACGCACCATCGAAGACTAAATAGGTCAAGATATCCTTTTCGAATCGTAAAAGATGACTAGACTCAATAGGATTCGAGACCCAAGTCGATCAGCAATTTTCCTACCACCATCCACTTCATTCAGTTCGCAGAAAATTGAGTCATTAACCCCATGTAGAAGAACAACAAAAAGGGCAATTTTCCGCACAGCAAGCGTACGAAGGGCACATTGCAGAGAAGACAAAGAATCGACACACGAAGGAAAAAGTGTGGGGCTGTTTTCAATTCTTACAGCTGAATCACTTGAAAAATATTTACAGCACCGCAAAAGATTTCCCTCCAGTGCACAAATGAGCAGGTATCAGAACAGCATGCTGGGCTACGTTATTCATAATTTACTAACTTGCGCACACACACTCCTCACACTTGCTGCTTGATACATACTCGTGTGAACTTTTTCTTGTGCAAATATCCTCCGCATACTTGCTCATTTGTGCATGTGGTCTCTCGAGACTTCCTTGCCCTTCGGGTACTCGATCTTCTCCAATATGGACCTCTCCGATTGATCAGCACGGAAGTCTTGAGTTTTCAAGCAATAAATTCACCAATTTAAATTCAGAAAAGAACGTTCACTTATCGGTCAAGGCCTCCAACATGAAAATATGGCATTAAACGATGCTTTGAGAATACAGTTGACTCTCTCTAGACCGTAGTAGTGTATTGATACTGTACTGTACTTTTTTTGGTCCTAAAGGGTTCGGGGTTCTTTACAACGAAATTCTCTCATGAAACATTTTTATGGTCTCTTGAATTCCGTTGTCGAGAAAGCCCACTTTAAAAAAAATGAAATCGAGAAAAATATGTGCGCTTTCTGGCCAAGGCCTCCAAAAAAACGGCATAAAACAAGACAATTGAGAATACAGATGGACCCTCTCGAAAGCGATTTCCTCAGTACAAGAATTTCATTTTTGATCCCACGGGATTCTCTAAAACGAAATTCTCACAAAAACGAATTTTTGTTTCTGATCCCTCGAATTGAATTCACTGCAGAGGGAGATAGAGGAGAGAGTCCACCACTAATACTACACTCGCAACCGATCAGGGACGAAGACGCATTCACTACCATTGAAAAGTTCCTTCTCGGAGTCTATTCATACAGCCTCACACACACACACAAGAATTCAGAAGAGATGAAGAAAAGGGAGGAAAACGGCCAAATGGCTGACCAGCTCACTGGACAAAACCATCAGTCATAATTCCCCAGGTCCCTGCTCAATCTACGCCGGCGGGCATTGATGGCGAGCCACGGGCCGCTTCTTTCCCGCCCGACACCCAGCAAAAACTTCCTCTCAGAGATACGTTTTTATTCATAACCTTCTTCTGGTAGAGATCGAAGCAGGAAAGAGAAAAAAGAGGCAGAAGTCAGTTCCGAAGAAGGGAAATTCTCAGAGACGACGGAAAACTCATGAGGATACACACAATGCCGAGGGTCGTTCCGGAGGGACTGCGATGAAATTAATGGCCTCTGTCAGTTCGTCTTCATTGCCTAACGTTCCAGACAGCCTCAAAAACCTTCATCACAGAGATTGCAAATCAAGGAGAAGTTACAAGGACCATTCCGAAGATCCCAACGTCGTCGACGATTTATTCTCTCGAGGAATGAAAGCGGGTTCGTTCATGCTTCAATGGACTCTCCACTCCCAATGACATTTTCAATGCCAAGGTTTTTTTTTCAGCGTTGCTACAAGAGACTTTCAGGTCATCGTCAGTAGGAAAGAAAGAACAGCTATCCCTTCGAATGCGTAAGACAGACTCGACTTGCTTTTATAAATTTAAAAAATTGATTATTCAAAGCAACACTCGAAAATACAGGTAGACTCTCTCTATCACGAA